TGTTTGCCTGTCTACCCCCTGCCTCCCACCAGCCATTCTCTCATTGTACTGCACTTGCCCCTTGTTTCCCTATAAAGGAATCAGGAATTTGCTGGGGACAACGGGCAAATGCAGAGCATCACAAACGTCTCTGGCTGCTACTCGTGTTGGGTTCCTGAGGGCCCCACCTGGGAAAAAGGGCAGGGATCTCAGCCCCAGAACCTGCCATGCTCCGTGGGCCCAGGAACAGCATCTCAGGACAGATGGCACAAAGGCACCAGGGGACTGCAAGTGACACTCAGGTCACCATCCTACAGGACATCCAGCCTGGTTTCCTTGGCCTGTCAACCCTGCCCAGTGCTGATGCCCAGTGCCCCCTCAGCATCCCTCAGTGGGGTAATGCTCATGGGTGCTTGTGGCACACTCTGCCCATGCCTTGGAGGGGAGAGGGTGGCCATCAGGAATGAGAAGCAAGGCCCTGGAAGATGTCCAGCTCTCTTTTAATTAACCTGAACAAGCCAGAGCTTAAGTTTCCGAGCCAAGCCAAAGTCTCCCTGTTAGGAAAAACCTGCAGTACCTGGCAGTAATTTAATAACTCTCATTTCGAGCTTTCTAATAGCAGTGCTGTGGAACGGCTCCAAACCCACTGGTCTCCCTGCCTTTCCGCAATCAAGTTACCTTTATTGCTTTATAGCAATATTAACAGAGATACCAGTGTTAATGCCTCACCTCAAACTCAGCTGGCAGGAGCCTGGCACGGCCCAGAGGAAACCCGGCCGTGCGTGGTGGGGCCGGGATGGCTGACTCCTGGCATGGCTCCAGCACCCACCCCTAGCCCAGGGAACAGTCCCTGCTCCAGGCCCCAGTGCCAGGCACGTAGCAAGGTGAACTGTCACCTCTGGGATGGGGTCTGGCTCAGGGGTGCCCCGGGATGAAGGATGCCCATTCTAAGAAATAGTACACACTATCACCCTGGGATCCAGCCCTTTTTGGGGAGCTGTTTGCATTGCTGCAGGGGTACAGGATTAAGTCCTTTCCCAGCCACCAGAGGAGATGCCAGGACCCATGGGGAATGTATCACCATCCCCAGACACCTCTGCTCTAGCAGCCTTGTCCCTTTCAGCGTAGCAGGAGTTTGGGTGTCCTGTGTGGCAGGGACTGCCTGCCTGCCCCCTGCAGACCTGCAATTAGCTCAGTTGCACTAACCTAGAGGAGGGGCTCCATGGCTTGAGGTGCTTCAGAAATACTCCTCCCTCCCAGAGAGGGCAGAATGATTTTCATCTTTGAATCCACAAGTAGAAGAAGAACAGAAGAGCACAAAGGAGACAAACTCCTCCTTAATTTCAAGTCCAAATTGTTCTATTCTACAAGGGACACCCCATCACACAGCTAGGGCCATGTGAGCTGTTTATAGGAGCCCCAGCCATCCATCACTCACAGGTGTCCCTCCATGGGACTTTCCCTGGCTCTGATCTCCCCTAGCTGAACCCTGTCACCCAGCAGCTGATGCTTTAGAGGGGTTTCCCCCAGTACTCCTGGCTCTGCTGCAGGTTTGTGATACAGCTGTGGTGCTTCAAGAGTAAGTCTGAAGAATGTGGTTCCTCCTTGCTGGCTGGACATTGTAGGGAAGGCTTGTCTTGAGGCGCAGCCCTGACCAGGGGTACCACCCAGGGATGTGAGGGATGTGGTCACCTTACCCTCCCTGGCCTCCCCTAGCCAGCCTGAGTGGCAAGGGGCAGACTTGCCACTGCTGCCATGAGCACCAAGTGGCAGTGAGGAAGAGGAAGGGCTGAAGGTGTGTGACATCGTGGGAAGGGCATGAACGCCCCAGCCCAGCTGCAGTGGTAGCAGCACCACATCCCAGGACAGAGCAGGATTGTATAAAAGCCCCTGGCTGTGGCTGGCCACCAGCATGGGAGCTGACAAAGCAGCACTGTTCCAGTTTATGGGATTGGAAACAGCTGCTCGTGGGGCACAGATAACCTGACATAGCAGGGACATGATGGGCTGCTGGAGAGGACAGACTGACAGAGCACACCCTACTGGGGTTCGCCCAAACCCACTGGTTTCAGCTGGGAGCAGGGCTGGGGCAGTGGACCCTGCAGGGATTGCTGTGCTTTCCTTGAGCATCTCCCACTTGGACGGAAGGTTTCTCCCCGAGCTGGAAAGCGGAGCCGAGTGTCAGTTTGTGTGTGGAGCCACTGCTAATACCTTCTTTGCTATTTTTAGCTCAGCAGCCTTGTGCTGTTGGTTTCAGCATATTTTTTTTCCTCACAGTAAATTCCAAATCTTTTCCCTCTTTCACCTTCTATTCCGGGATGCTGCCTTTACCATTCGGCTTTGATCTGCACTGATGCCAAGTGTGTTTTGAAACTCTAAGTATAGCACATCCCTTGAATTTCTCTTATCTAGCAAAGCAGTAATATCCTCAAAGAGCTCCAGCAAGCTCTGTGACATCGCACGGCTCAGTCCACACCAGCTACTCCTCAGCCTGGTTCCCAGGCATCCTCCCCTCCAGAGTGCTCTGCAGGCTTGTGACCTGGGCTGTGCTTTGTTGCTGGTGTCTCGAAGTCGCTGTCAATCTTATTTTACAGCTCAGAGACTGAAAAGGGCAGCTAGGAGCAAAGACGGCCAATATTTATTTATTTATTTTCCCCAAAGATGCCCGAATGCAGCCTTGAATTTTGCATCTGTAAATTGATTGTAGATGTAAGTAACAAGAATATTTTACACTTCAAAATAAATAATTTTCCAATGTAGGCAGGTAACTAGGAGGCCAAATGCAATCATTTGTGACTGGCAGTGGATTGCAAGGGCAAAGATCTGAAGGCTGCTCTTAAATCCGTCCCCAAAATGTCTGGTGCTCTATACACACACACTGTAACAAATTAATGTCAGATGCTGCACTTGGTATAATTAGACAGGATTTAGAGTGGCAGAGCCAGCAAATTGCTACGATTTATGTGAAGCCCCTACCCCAGGGTCTGCACCCGCCGCTGCTTTGTCGTCACTGAAAATTCCTTCATCAGTTGAAGGACTTAGCCCCTGGATTGCTTTGCACAGTTTGGTCCCAAATTTGGCCCCGAATGGATCCCTGATGTCAGCTCCTTGGGATGCCCTTTGGGCTGCAGGGTATCAGTAGGAGCCCACAGAGCTGATAAACTACATAAACCACAAAGGACACCTACCAGAAGGACACCAGAGCCAGAGTGCTAGGAAGCACCAATTTGCTTAGTAAATCCTTTTCTGCCTTTTCCCAACACGGAGTATGAATAAAAAAAAGTTAGAAAGAAGAAAAAGCGTTTTCATTCCCTAGTTCTTATTAAGAGATAAACTCAATCTGGTTTAACTAACTAAGCCAAGCTCTGGCAGTGGCGGCGCGTGAGCGGCGCGGGTCTGCTCCAAAGTGGAACCAGCTCCCAGCCCCACACTTCAGGAAACATCTCATCCAGTGAACCTCGTATTTTTCCCACAAACTCCCCTCGAGCTGTAAAGCACATCTGGATAATTTTAGGCAGAAAGGGATTTTCCCAGAAAGTTGCAGGGGGAGGGTGGGGGTAGGCGAGGGGTTGGTTATATTTGGAAACCTCTTTCAAGCACGGAGACCCCATTGTGGCGGCAGCATCGTGGGGTGATGCTGAGTGGTGCAGTGGCGAGGGAGGCTGTTGCACCAGCATGGAGAAATATCTGGCAGCAATTTGTGGCCACAGGTGGGTTTTTCTCCTTGCAGTTGAGTTTTGGAGTGTGCTTCCGCCTGTACTCTCTCAGCTGCCCTGGGATGAAGCAGGGACCTGCTGAAATCCTCCAGAGATTTGGTCCAGTGGCTCCAGGGAAGCTCCGGACATGGCACTGCTCAAAAGCAACAGAAAGGCAATTAAAAAAAAAAAAAAAAAAAAGGCGTTTTGAATAGACAAAGTGCCCCAACTGCCTCAGGGCCCAGACAAGCGATGCTCCTTGCTCGGAGGGGCCGGTGATGAGGGTATGAGGAGGCAGCTCATCAAGCCCTTATTAGCACAGGAACTGCCGAGTGCAAATTAACGCGCCAGACTCTGTCCCAGCGTACGGAGAGCACCGCGTGCGCAGCCACGCTGAGCAGTTTAATCAACTCAGAAAGCAATTTGTTCTCTCTCTCTTTATAACCTTGACAAGCTAGCGGGTTATTTTTAAGCACACTAGCAAAGGCAAAGGCAATTCCCGGCTGGTTGGCAGCTGGCTGGCAAACCACCATGCTGGGCAGGTGGGCAGCCCCCTGCCAGCTCTGCTTCAGAGCAGGGCAAACCTTTCCCCAGGCTTCAGCAATTTCACCCACACATTCCCAGGCCAGGGGCACTCTGTCATGGGCACAGTCCATCACTTTGGAACAATGCAATGCCCTGATGCTGTTGACCTGGGGACATGCGTGCCCTCTTTGCTGTGTGCTGTGCTGTGGAGAAGGTTGGAGAAGCCAAGACAGATGCAGGGCTGAGGCACTAAGAACAATTAGGGATTGATGATTCCCCAGAGGATGGATGGGTAACTGAGAGGAGTTGTGTTTTAGTGGCATTGCTTGCCCTGCCCTGTAATTTCTTCCCCTGGAGAGGGCTGTCCTCAGGGAGGGAGGATGGAGGAGATGGTTGGGATGCCAGACCCACTGCCACATGCACCCTGACACCCAACCTGCTCCTTCACCTCTTACAGCTGATCTCCCAGAGAAGGACGGCAGATGTTTTGCAGGCATGGTCCCTGTTGTGCAGCACGTCCCAGGTCACCCAGGCACTGGTGTCAGGACAGCAGCCCAAATTTCAACCAGGGCAGTTTCCACCCTCCCTGCTGCAGCATCCCTCCTGCCCACTGCAGTACTGGCTGGGTTTGTCCTGTGCAGCCTCCTTCCTTCCAGAGGCCAACTGGACCGCTGTGGTGGGAGATATGGGACCTGGAAACCCGAGAGTAGGCACAGCTGCCTCTGACTGCTCCGTGTCCTCAGGGCACTGGGCCGTGTTTGCTTTGGCCTGTGCTGCCCCAGCAGCTGCTCAGATGTGCTGGTGATAACACAATTAGCAGTAAATTGGTTAATGCTTTCCCAGCCAGCAAGATGCACAGGGTGCAGAGGCCACCTCCATGCCACGACCACCACTGTTCTCTCAGACCCAGAGGTGCTGGGCACTCTTGGGGACAATACTGCCATGCTGGTCCCCCTCACCTGGGAACTGGGAAGGGCCTGAGGATCAAGATTCCTGCCCCAGCAATGATATGGTTCAGCGCCTGCACTTCCAGCTGATTTAAAGCAATGTCCAAGTTTATAGAGAATTAGTGAGACTAAGGAACATTATTTTTCTTTATTAGGTTAAAGGGTAAGCAAATACAATCAATCTTGTCATGTATCACAAGATGTCAGCAACTTCCCACCTCAGCCAGAAAACTACCGGCTCCTCAGTGGATTGTGGAATTACATTCATAACTGCGGAAAACAAATATATACATGTATATTTTAATGAAAACATTGAAGGTCACTACCTCACATCATCATCACAAACAGGTTACTGCTGAGCTAATTTAATCAACAACAAAATCCAGGCTGCAGAGGAACCCCCACTTGGAGGAAGATGCAGCTCACATATGGAGATGAAGGTGTTGGTGAAGAGATCTGCATGGGATGGAGCTGGCAAACATGACCCCAGGCTGGGCTGGTGTCCACAGGGACTTGCTGCCCAGCCCCAGCCCCAACCCAGATGAGTGCAACGATAGTGCTGTGTTCTGCCCTGTGTTTTAATAATGCTCTATACCATATTTTAGCCATGGAGACATTTTGCAATGGCTGTGTTCTGTCTCAGTTTGGCTTCTTCATTTAACAGCAACCTAATTCAATTGCACTTATCCCCATCCTTCCTTCGCCATTTGTGGTTCAGATAACCTTGCTGAACTCCTCTTGGAGATTAACCAGGGGGAGGGAGCCCATTAGCTGGTCCGAGCTTCAGAGCTGCTAATCAAAGCTAATGAATTAACCAAGAGGGTGTTGATTTCCAATCTGAGCATTCAGGAGGAGGGACAAGATCTGTCCTTCCCTCTGCCCCATCTCCTGCATCCCAATGCAGTCCCCTGCCCTGACGGTGCAGGATGCTGCCCTCTCCCCTTTCTCCATCCACAGTCCCACCTAACTCGAGGCCAACCAGGGGCGAGGTAAGAGGAAAGCCCTTTTGACCTGGGAAGACACAAATAATCATTGTAATGATGACTGGTAGGACTCTGAATTGCCTGCCAAAATCACGAGCTGCTTAGACAGCCCGAAGAGCACCGAGGCTGGAAGTCATCTGGCAAGCACAGGGCTGTCCACAGTAGTGGCAGGGCAGAGGGCAGGGGATGTGGAGAGGCAAGGAGGAGCATGGGGCCAGAGTTTTCCTGCCTGGCAGGATGAGGGATGTGGCCCAGCAGGGTCAGTCTCACCGTCGCGGGCACTGTGCCATGAAGGAAGCTGTGTGTGCTGGCCAGCACTGCCAAGGGCTGCTTCTGCCCCATGTGTGACCCCACGTTAACCCTGCTGTCCCCACCAAGGGTGGCCAGGTGACAGTTTATCCAATTCCAGAGTGACTGTGTTTCTAAACATAAAGCGATGCCCTCCTCACTCAGCACTGATTCATCTCCTTTTGCAGCTCCAGGCCCCCAGCTCAAATGTATCCATATGTCATTCCAAAGCAAAAATATTTGGTGGCACTCAGCAATGTCCTCCAGCCTGGAGGCAGTAGGAGGAGAGAGAAGGGTGGCCCAGGCAAGTTGTTCTTTTGGTGGGAGGGGATATGGCGGCATCTTCCCTCTCCAAGATCTGATGTGCAGGGTAGTTGATGATGGCAATGCTGTCCCCTGTCTCTGCAGCATCATGGCACAGTGGACCAGGATCAACCTTTGCCCCTGAGATGGGCAGGTAGTCTTGGATGTGTGTCATTCTTGGAAATGATGTGCACACAAAGCTGGTAAGGCTTTCATACCCAGTCAAGTCACTGTCTGTCCCTCTCCTACCCAGCTGCCCACAGAGCCACGCTGCAAGGTCTCTGTCATCCCTGTCACCCAGCAGGCAGAGACCAGATCTCCCCAGTATTTGTTCTCCAAACCTGCCAAGGGAGCCCAGCCGTCCACCCTGAGGACAGCACAGGCAGCCTGAGCTTGTCTGGCAGAGTCACCACTGCACTTCAGCTCCCAGCGAGTGCCTAGCCCGTGGTGACAGGGACCATAAAACACTTGCACGAGCAGACATGAGGCAGTGCTGAGGGCTGGCTGGCTGGCTGCCTCCTTTGGACTGTCCCTGATTCAGAAGTGCACAGGGTTGCCCAGGCTGCTCAAGGCTCCTCTGGGAGCTCTGGTTCAGCTCCTGTGCATTGCAGGGAAGCTGTGGCAGCTCAGAGCTGCAGAATTACTGAGGTTGCACCACTTGTTGCTTGCCCAGCTGATGTTGGCTGACAGCTGCCGTGCACACACTGATACTCAACAGAACTGGCAGCAGGATGCTGTCTGTTCCTGCCTGGAGTTTGCCTGCACCACGTGCTGCCCATTGGACAATGATGGCTCCAGTATGCAGAGCCCAGGTGCAGGTGTGCAAGCCAGTGGCATGTGGCACAGCCACCATGCTGAGCAGCATGCCCAGGGAAGACGAAACATGTGCAGGCACAAACACACAAAGAGCAGCCCCTGCAGCTGGTGGCACATGCAGACCCCCAGCCTCGAGCTGGGCTCCTCCACCTGAGCCCAGGGCTTTCAGGTGAACCCAAATACCTTTAGAAAGGGTTTTCCAGCAGGACATGGGCAGAAGGACCGTGGTGAGCCGGCTGCCCTGGCGCTGCAGGCGCCCTGCATCCGCAGCCACGGCGCGCTGCCGCTGTGCAGCCCCAGCCCGCCCTCATTTATCTCCCCTCCAAATTGTGAATGAACGAACTTTCTCCCAGAATAAATAACCATCGCTCAAAAGTTATTTTAGGGCTGGTCTCGGTCGCTGGAGTTTCCGCGCCTGCCGAGGCCCATCACATTGTTTTCTGCTGCTTTCCTTGGCACGGCCCCAGTCCAGGGTTCAGAAGTTATTACTATAAAAGTCAAATTGCTTTGGGGGGGGGAGGCTGGGGGAGGCAGGGTCGGTGGAGGGAGAGGGGATGGGATTCCTGGAAAGTGTCCAGCCAGGGATAATTGGAGCTGTGCGGGGTTGGACCAGTCCCTGCCGTGCTCGGGGGAGCGTTTCACCTGGCCTGTGGCCAGCGGAGCTGAGGCGAGGAGGAGGAGGAGGAGGGCTGGGTTATTGAAGGCACAGCCCCCCCTGAAATACGGTGCTGCTGGGGTTTGGTGTGCTGGGGGGGATTCCTGGGGGCCTCCAGGCTCATTCCTTGCCATCTCCTGGAGAGCCCTTGCCCATCCTCCTCCTTGTGGCCCCTGGAACCTGCTCTCGCCCCACTGCCATTTAATGCTGGTTATTTCCCCATCTACAGCACTAATTACTTTCCTGCCTTTGCACTGAGGACTGCCTTAAGCCCTGAAATATTAATGTTTTATTTCCCTTCTAAAACTTCCTCTTTCAGTGTTTGCGACCACAACTTGGTAAGTTTTGGCCATCCATAAAAGCAAATGTTCTGCCCCTTCACACCAGGCACTGCACCCAGTTGCAGTAAAGCTGGTGACAAGAGACCAGTTCCCATCCTTAATGAAGCAGCATCTCCCTCAGTCCTTTAGGCTCTTTTCCCACACCCTCTGTAGTCAAGGGTTGCCCTGGACCTTCCCTAGCACAACAGGGCAGGAGCAGCTCATGGATGTGGGATCTCAGTGGGGATGTCCTCTCCCAGGGTATCCTTGTGGGATTGTGCCTTTGCTGCTGTGTCCCAAATCCTTTGATCTAAACTTGATGCTCTTTTTTCCTTTTAAAAATTATTTCTGTGTAATGGTCATGCTGATGTATCCGTGCAACCTCATTAGAATTCAGTTTGCTCTCTCCTTTCCTCCAGGCAGCCATATTTTTATTATTCCCATTATTTAAGGTTGACCTTACAGCAATGACCAGCATCCTCCTGGCAGACAGGGCTGTGTCTGTGCTGGCCCTTCCAACCTGCACCCCAGAGACCTGCCCCAGGGTGCCCCTCACCCTGAAGCTGGCACCCATAAATCCACCACAACCCACAGTTGCTGGGGAAGCACTGCAAGCACCCCACAGCCAGGATTCACAGGCAGGAACAGCCAGGAGATGAGATATGGCTCAGCTTTGATACCTGCAGCTCGTACTCCTGGAGCAAAATTATCAGACATGGGGATCCACTCAGTGAGGTGACTGCCAGGCAGCAAGGCTTCGAGGGACAGGGAGCAGGCACAGGAGGTTACCTGGCAGCAGCATGTGACAGCAGAAGATGTGACCTGTGGAGGCACTTCAGAGAGGACATCTTCATGGAATCACTTTGGGAAGAGCCTAGTGTTGTTCTCATCCCACTCAGCTCAGCTGCCCTGGCATGACACAGGGCACATCCTCGACCCCTTCCCTGCCCCATCTCCTGCCAGGGTGCTGAAATATTGCGCTACCTGTGATGCTCAGAGTGAGTAAATATAAAAGCATTAACTGAATATAAAGAAGAAAAAAGTGAGGAAAGGAGAGGAGAGAAAGTAGGGTGAGTCTCAGCTCCATGGCAGGAGCACTCTGCCCCATGCACCTGGGACCTCACTGTCTGAGGACATGTGGAAAACCCCTGTGCCAGGGCTGCAGAGTTGCCATTCCATACCTACCGTGACCCAGCACAACCCTCCAGGCCCAGCTGGTGGGACAAGTCTCTGCTTCTTGAAGGTAAAAGCCAGCAGAAATTATCCCTGAGGCCACATCCAGGTGGGCTGGTGGGTGAGGTGGGCTCCTGGCTCCTCTGTACACTTTTTCCACCTAACCTTACCTATTATAGAATCATAGAACAGTTTGGGTTGGACCTTTAAATGGCATCTAGTCCAACCCTCTTGCCATGGGCAGGAGGATCTTCAGCCAGCTCAGGTAGTCAGAGCCCCATCCAGCCAGGGGTGGGGCATTCACCACCTCTCTGGGCAGCCTGTGCCAGTGTTTTACCATCCCAAATGTAAAAAAACCTCACTCCTTATATTTAATGTAAATTGACCCTCTTTCAGTCTAAACCCACTGTTCTGTCCCTTTTAGCCCCCTACTGTGTACCCCTGCCACCCCACCGCCCCTCTCCTGCAATTGCCATCCACCAGGCATAGCTGGTTCCTTCTCTATCCCTTCCCTAATGGATCTGACAGCTGCTCCCTGCACTGGGCCAGGTTTCAGTTTCCCCACGCTGAGGTTTTCTTGCACAGTCTATTGCAAAGCAAGAGCCAGGGCCGTCTCGGCCGGGCGGCAGCGATGCTCCCTGGCCACGGCACGGCTGCCAGGTGGGTCACCCTGCTGGCCCCTCGTGGGCACTCACCAGCACACTGGGGACAGGAAGGAAGGAACAGAGTCGTAGGAATCAGATTATGAACTGAGCAGTATCACGTGTGGAAGACCCCGTGGGGAAGGGGCTTCCAGGGCTATTTTCGCCTAACGAAAGTTGCAATTAATTTGCGGAGGAAGTCGCTCGGTATTAAGAAACCCTCCAGGCAGAGTCCAGACCCAGGGACACACATCCCATTATTTTCTCGTTTAAAAACCATCTTGGTGGTGAAGGGGGCTGCTCCCCCCGGGCTGGCGCTAACGGGGAGCCGGGGGGGGGGAGCTGGGGAAGGGGGGAGCTGGCTCTGGAGGGGCAGGCGTGTTTGGAGAGGGAGAGGGAGCTGAAATTAACCTTGGAAAGCATTCAAATTAGACTGTGTAATAAGAGACCCACTTCTCTGGGTAAATTTGTTAGGATTAGGGCTCACTGAGCTGTTGAGGAGAATTCAGCATGGCTCAGAGCCAGGACGAAATGAAGCTCCTGGCTTGGTCGGCTGCGGGAAAGTCCAGGCTAATGGGCTTTGGTTCAAACTTTGATAGGAAAAAAATCCAGGAACAAAGGCACTAATTCTTCCAAAAGCCCCAAAATCTCAGTTTATACATTTCTGTTTATGTTCATTCATAATAGATATACACAGCTGTTCTTATCATTCATATTCAAATTCCATATGCATCTTTAGCAGTTAGTACTCCTGCCTCAAAATGAAAAAAAAAAAAAAGCCATGTGGAAGATTAAAGAAAACTGAAAAACAACCTGTCTTGGGGTGTGAATTCTCCCAGCATCTGTGTCTGAGATCAGGTCTTTGCACTGGGGTCCAACCTCAGGACAGAGGAGGAGACCACTGCTAGCATGGGCTGGACAATTTAGGGACTTATTTGAGTCTCTTTGTCACCTGCCCCAGACCACCCATCTGCTGAGCTTCCTCTGCCCTGAGTAGTGAGGTGGCTGGCTGGGGTTCACCCTGTGCCACCAGTCCTGACACCCATCAGCATGCCCATGGCTTCCCCAGTGATATTCTATAACTGGAGAGGGATGGACGAGCCCGACCTGCCCCCCGGGGCTCCCCTGTGCTTAACACTGCCCTGGGTGAACAGAAGGGAGCTTTTCCAAATTCCATGGTTATAAGCTAAAAAACCCCAAACAACCAAAACCAAAACTGTGATTTTATGTTATTTGGTCTTTTCTTTTAAAAAATTTATCTCTGTCTCACATCCCAGAGGATCTCTCCTTGCTTCCTTTAAAAATTACCTCTGGAGTAAGGAACAGAAAAACCCCAAACATTTAAATCAGGGTATCTCACAGAATATTTGCATCTTAAACCTTATTTTTGCTGGAATTTGCTCTTACAGACAAATCTAGCGCTGTTGAGTAAAGCTCATTAGTAAGAACTATCTGCTAGAATGAGCAGCAGGGACATAGATAGCACAGATACTTAAAGTGTTGTCACTAGGTTTCAGAGTTAATCCTGCTGAGAAGTTCCCCTCTCAACTCGGAGCTGTTGTTCTGCACATCCATGACACTGCTATTGATTCTTCGGATTATTAGGGAAGGCTGAGGCTCCATCCCTCTGCAGTGGATGTGCAACCTGTGGTACCTCAACGCGGGCGGCAGGAACAGCAGCAGTGGCACTGGCTGTGGCTGCTGCAGCCCCTGACCCTCCTCCTCCTCACCTCTGCACAGTGCCCAGGTGAGATGCAGGTTCTGGCACGGACCTGAGCCTGGGCAGCTCTAACCCGTGTTCCGGAGCCAGGAGGGGGGTACACGCCCTGCGGAGCAGCATGCTGCTGCTGTATTTACATTCCAGCGTAAATTAGTTTCTCCTCTGCTCTCTCTCCTGTCCCCGTCCCCTCCTGCTGCGCGTTCTCCCGGCTGCCGCAGCCACTCCGTCTGCTTGAAATATCCTTTAATCGGGAGCTCATGTCTTCCGGCTACAGCAGAAGGGGAGCGGCAGCCTGGGGACAGGGGACAACTGGAGCACACCCAGACAGGGCCCCCTATCACCCCGTACTGTACCCCAGCATGGTCTGTAGTGCCTGGGAGTGCCCAGGGTTGTACCAGCGCCTTCCCCCGTGTCACCCTTGACACCCAGGGCTTTAACATCAGCCCCCAAGGATGTGTCCCCCACTCAGGCAGTGTTTGGGTGCCTGTGAAGGGAGGCATCATCCCGAGACTGAAGGATCCCCTGTGGGCTGCAGAAGGCAGGCCAGAGGAGTAGAAAGCAGGCTCACCCAGCCGTCTTTCATTTCATGAACAAACACATGAAGACCTGGAAGCAATAAATCCAGAGCTTGGACTACAAAACCAAACACGGCTGCAGCTCCCCCTTGGAACAGGAAAGTGGGAGGAAGAGGGCAGCCACAAAGCCAGCCGACGAGCACAGGCACCGTGTCCCCTCCTGAAACCACCAGGATGCTTTAAAGGAGCTGCATCAGGGTGCTCTGGCCAAAAATGCGTCCCCAAAAAGCTGTATGTGCTGGTTCTTCTGCGCTGTCAGTCACTGTGCCCCTAGGATGCACGGAGCATTCTTGGAAGCAGCCTGAATTGACAGGTCCCAGGGTGAGCAGCTGTCCCTCACCCAGCTGGGAGCAATAGGAGCAGAGCCCAGGGGGGCAGAGGGTGCTCTGGGAGGACATGTACCCTCACACGGCACAGCATCACCCACACACCACGCTCGAGGTGCCAGAGCGCAGAGCCCCCTTGGGAGCAGTGGGTCATGTGTGCTGTGCCAGTGGTGCTGTCCTGGCTGCTGCCCTGATGTGGGCCTGCCCTGGGGGTGCTGCTGTGGGAGGGGGCTGCCCTGAGCTGCTCTGTGGGCAGGGCTCTGCCTGTGTAGGGCACCCAGCCAGGCATTACCCAGCCAGGCATTTCCCAGCCTGGGTGCTTCCTGCCCATGGGTGCAGCGTGGCACCTCATAGCGCTCCCTGGAAAAACAGCTGGGAGCCACCAGACCCTGTTACTGTCAGGTCTCCCCAGTCCAGCTCACTCTTGCTACCAAGCCCCCCACTATCCCCCTCCCATCTTGCACCAGGAGCTGAGCATTTGTGTTGCTGGCCCTGCCAAGACCCTCAGGCTCACTGCCACCTACCCATGCACAGGGAAGGACAGGCATGTGCCCAGGCTGTCAGCATTGCCCCCAAACCAGCAGAACTCACCTTAGGAATACCTGATTCCTATGTAGCTGAGGGCATCCCACCTCAGAGACTTGGGGAGTCCTGCTCCCTTTGGTCTGGAGACCCAGGGAGGAAGAGGAGAAGAGGATGGAGAAGTGGCAGCACAACCAATGGGCAATACAAGCCACTAGTGGGATCCTGGCCAAGTCTGCACTTCTCATGGTCAACCTGCAGCAATCCCAGCTTTCTCACATCCCTGCCAGGTACAAGGGCAGACTGGGTGCCCACCAGCTCCCTCCCCAGGACCCCACTCACCTGACTCGATGATCTTACAGGTGATCTTTTCCCAGATGATTCTAAGATTCTATTACTTCCCCTGGCAGCCAGGGAAGCTGCAGCAGCATCGGAGCTGCCTTCTCCTTCCAGCATTCGGGCAAACTGCTATTTGTAAAACAAAGGTGAAAACATCAAATCAAATGGATGAGTCAGAGGAGAAGTTCAAAAAACGGGGAGCGCGGGGAAAGGGAGAAGCAGGATCTCCATCTCCCCTCCCACCTGCCAGCAGGCAGTGAAGCAGGCAGGGAAACAGGCAGCACCTCGCCTGCTGGCAGCCCATCACGGCTTCAAAGCGGGCGCAGATCGGATCTAGCAGCAGCCAGGGATGCAGCGAGCAAGCGCTTAGCGGGGAAAGGAGATGGCTCTGATAAGCCAACGTGTGAACTCCCAGGTTTAAATTAACTAATGACTTCAGATGCTGCCGATAGTCTGCAGGGGATGAGGAGGAGTGATTTATGGGAGAAGATTAAACAGACTAATTAGGCCAGCTTTACCACTTAGGAGTTACCCAGCCAGGCTGGGGGCTGTGCCAAGGAGGACCCACTGTGCCCCAGCCTTGTAAGAAAGGATGGGGAGCAACTCCAGGCCCCCCCTGAAGCCACAGGTACTCTGGCAGCCTCCTGACCCAGGAGCACCCCTGTGTGAGTGCAGGAGATCCCACCATGCACCCCAGCACTCACCCACAGCTGCCCGCTCTCAGGTGCAGATATGGAAGACTTGTGGACTCTCTTCTGCTCCATGACCTGAACCTCCCCAGTGCTTCCCAGCCAGCACAGAGGGTCCAGGGTCTGCTCGACCCCCACTGCTTCATGGCCACAGGACTAGGCACTAACATGGACCAGGCACCACAGCTGCCAGGTCTCTGGGGTGAAGTGCAAGGTCAACAGGACTTCAAATTCCGGCTACATACATAAAGAATCAGTGATTTCCAGTGGCTGGGCAAGCACTGAGCTCAGCCTCATGTTGCACTGACTCACTGCCCTCACGTGTAAGAAGTTGTCGTGGTCTCAGCCAGGAGAGCTTTTTATCACGTTATGGGAAAGCACTTGGAGTTTCCTTTTCCAGGAGCCCTGGATATAATAAAAAGGCCTCCTCAGGCTTCAAAGCAGGAGGATTTTCATTGCTTCCTGGGCCAAGAACAAAGCACCATTGAGCACTGCCAACAGTTGTTGTCTCTGTCCCTTGATGTGCATCAAGCATCCTGTTCTCAGGCTTGGAGGGCTTGGGTCACAGGGATGGAGACAGGTTCATCCACAGCCATTGCTCTGGACCAGGAACGCTCTGAGACAGGTTTGCCCCTTGAATCATCCCAATTTCACCATGAACTGCCAGGGTGGCCATAGGCAAGGCATGAGGAGTGCTGGTGGCCTGACCCCGGGGCTGGCATCACTTCCCCATCCACCCACTTGGTACCTGTGAGACAACGGGGCGCTGCTGGAGTGCATAACATGGTTTTCAGCAGGGATTGAATGCATGACTGTGTAAATAACACAGAGGTACCATGAAAACAGCTGTTTCCACGTTAAAATGGAAATTTAACAGAGTGACAAGCAGGAGCTGCAGGGGATGCAGCATGGGCTTCCTCCAGGAACCCACACAAGTCGCAGCTTAGTGCTGGGGCACGAACTTCCCACTGTGTCCAAAGCCCAGCCCTGGGGTGATGCTTGCCCAGAGCAGTTCAGGGAACTTCCTGCCCCTTGCCCCGGGGCACCCACAGAGAGCCAGAGCCCTGCTTTCAGCTGCCGCCTCCAGCACTGTGACATGCCAGGGACAGATGGTTGGGGACATTTCCCAGATGCCTTTGGAGAAACAGGAGTTCCTTGTCACTGCTATCAGCATGAAGCTCTTGGGTCCTTCCCTGCCCACGCTGGGTCTGGGACGGGTTTCCTGGAGCTCTTTGTCACCAGTGCATGGGGACTGGCTGGGTAGGGCTCCGCCTGGCTTGGTGCCACCAGTCCCATTACTGGAAATGAGGTTTTGGAGAAGAAATTTCTGATGTCCCCATGGCTGTTGTGTGCAATGCAAAGAGCCAGGCCAAGCAAGGCTACAGTGGTGTCATGAGCCCCTGCCTGATCCCCATATCCCCTGCTGCCAGCCCCTCTGTTTCAACCACCTCACCCCACTTCCCTGAAAAACAATAAGCCATCATGTTTGTGCAGAGACAGAGTCAGAACAGTTAAAAAAAAAAAAATCAGGAGAAAAAAAAAAAAGTCAGAGGAAAAAGCCTGGGCCCATGATGTCCCACAAACACTGCACTGTTGTGGCTGCCTGTGAGCTGCTTCAGCTGTGCACAACATCACTGGCAAGAAATCACTCACTGCACAATATTTTTGTTTTCCCAAACCATTAATGAATTATTTAGGCATCTCTAGCAGTTACATGGAGAACGATCAACCGCTGCTCAGTGTGGGCTGCCTCAGTGCCTGCCAGAGAGCAGCTTTTGGGGAAAGCAGCCCCACTGTCATGACGTTCCACGTGCCTGAGCAGAGCCATGGCACTGCAGAGCTCGCTGCGGGGCTGCCAGCGCAGCAGAGAACGTCATCTCTCCCTACAAAGGCTACAACCAGGAGTAGGAGCTTTGTTCCAGAGCTGGAAGAGAGAAGTTCACCTGCTCCGCCTCCCCCAGCCTTTTCCTCCCTGCGACGTGCTCCAGGCACCTGCCCAGTGCCAAAACCGTGGAGAAACTCGGCACTGATTTGTAACGTGTGAAGGTAATCCAGCGCTGGAGCAAACGGCTGCACTGAGTCACAGCAAACCTTGGCTACCTGCTAACGAACATGGGCCTGGGATGTCTGAAACCTGCAGAGAAAGCCCTGGCTGAGCAGACAGGAGAGCTCTGCTGATTGCAGCCATGAAACTTCATGAGGGTGACACCGATCCCTGACAAAACAGTCCCTGCCAACACATACATGTGCTCAGAGTGTCTCATCGACTCAGTGCAGCCTCCTGGAGCAAGGTATCCCTTGACATCCTGCACTAGCACTACCAGACACAAGCTAGAGGCTCCTGAACCTGGACAAGCATCAGGCAAGGAGATAGTCCCAACTACTCCAAGAAATACCTTTAATCCTGCAAATAAATGCACCCAATGTGGAGAAATGAAGGGATAAAAGCATTCTCTAAGAAAACTTCAGAAGGACAAAAGTCCTTTCACAAAATCACTCTTCCTTGTTGGAAAGGCACACGGTGAGGATGGACTGCTGCTGCTCTGAAGGTGAGCACTGGCTTGCCTGGTGCCTCACTGCTGAAGGATGTGGGAGCTGATGGGAGAACTAGGGAGCTGGTGCTGCCATGCAGCACAGGGAGGCTGTACAGCTCTCTGCCCTGTAGCTAAGGAAAAAACCTATGTTTTAAAGCCAAAATCCGCAGTAAAGGATGGGAAGCTCTACTCCTGGCTGTCTCTTTTCTGTCAGTGTAGTCAACAGGCTACTGGTGCCAGGGGAGACACTGGTCCTTAGGAATCACAAAGAAGCTCTCAGGGCTTTCAGCTCAATTGTAAAGCCTCTTCATCCCTTCCCTCTTTCACTCTCACAGCAAGTTTACAAGTTCTGCCACAAACCCATCTTCAGGCTTGTCCTGGACAGGCTGGAGGCTGCATGGGTGTCTGGGTGGGGATCAGCCTCACCAGCCACCATGGATCTTGCCCCTCAGCAGGGCTTGCATCCCTTCTGGCAGCCTCCATCTATGCATCTCTCCCAACACTTTGCCTTCTCCCCTTTCTCCAGCTAAGCCCTCTGCATGGCCTCAATTACTGGCAAAGGTTCCCATAGACCCTGGCTCCTTACGCCCTTCTCAGACCTGGGGACCATCACCTGCTTCCAGCTCCTGAATTATGTCCAAATTCTCTTGCTCATGGTTTCACAGCTGCCTGAGGTCTCAGCCATCCCCAGCCTGCCTAGTTCATGGCATCCCAGCACTCCATGAGCTAGTCACACTCCCGGCCAAGGTCCCTGGTCGGTTTTTTATCTTCTGAATTACTTCCTCTGTCCTGAAGGATGGAGCAGAAAGAGCTGAGGTGTGCAGGTGAGGATGGATCTGGAATCCATGCAAACCTGATTCTGAGTATCACTGCCTGGGTGCTCAGCCACTGCAATTTTCAGAGGAGAGTCCCCTCCCCAGGGAAATCACTCAGCCCTCTTTGGCTGCTTCTAAATTTGGTGGAGCATCTCACCTGGGCTCCAGGGTTTGGGCAGTCAGACCTTTTCCATACCCCACAACTCCCCTGGCACTGGTTCCTTTGATGTCTCAGTACTGAAAGCTGAGACCTGGAGGGAGGGACCCCCTGTAAATGAGAGGGAGTTTGCAGACATCACCACAGCCCCAGCTTCCCCTCCCTCATCCCCAGCCCCACAGCACATCATGTGGCTCTTGCCTGCAGCGGGGCCCCAGACCAGAGAAACACACGCTTTTTGTCAGGGCTGGTCTCCTCATGTTTATTTCCCTTTGCCGTGGGAGCAATTTCCCCTTCCCACACAGGCAGCGACGGCCGTGGCTGTATCAAACGCGGCCGTGGGGATGGGGATGGGGCCAGCGCTACCCCGGCAGAGCCAGGCAGGGACGCGGGGCCGTATCTCATCCGCTGGCATGCAGCACGCAGCGCCTGCAGGAAACATATGTCACTGCTTAAACAGATCGTGAAAGCTTCAATCACTTCCTTATGGCGGAGCCGGGCTGCGTTCATACCAACAGCCAGCATCTCCCGCGCTCTTTGCTGTGAGTGAGACCAGCCCTCGGCCCTGTGGGGTGCTCCCCTGCCTCGGTGCTCCCCTGTCCCCACGGACAGCTCCACAGGGAGCTGTGAAACACCATCCGGGAAAACAAACCATTTCTTGTCAGCACCTTGTCACCTCTCTAAGAAGCTCCCCTCTGCCTGCAAACCTGCCCTTCAGGAAACTCAGGGATGGAGCCCTCCTCAAATTCACAGTCCACCCCCAGGCTCCCTCCAGCGTATTTGCTGGGTGCACAGCTGGTGTGTTTGGGGCACTCTGCGCTTGCTGGCAGCACATGGCCAGGGCCCAGAACAGTCTCACTGGTCCCCAACCCCTCACTGACACTTGGGGCAGGCTTGGAAGAGTTCAGTGCATTTCATGGGCATCAGCCGTGCA